ATTCGGGAGACACCGTGATGTTTACTTATCTGATTATGGGAAAATTTAACTATTAGCCCTTTATCTTAGCGACTTATTATTATAAGTTACAGCTTAAACTAAATATGTAGTACTTTATCAGTACTTTTATAAGTCAAGATAATGTAGATCTTCTATAGCCGTAAGACACCAGCGAACTTGGATGGCATTGGGAAGCCTACTCATACAATTGTGAGAAAATGCAACCTTCATCCCTCCATTAACATAACAATTTAGGGCCTTTTATCTAAAACCGCTATTTCCCCAATTAAAAAAGGTATTTACACTCAATTATTTTGCCGCTTCACCCAGCAGGTTCACCTAGAAACTATCTACGAACTGGCGGGAACATAAGCCAGGCTTTTTGTTGCCTAAGCAGTGCAATATTCGCGAGTAGAGAGGCTACACGAAAAAGTACAAATTAAATCGCTTTCTGTCTTTTTTAGAGAAGCTTGGTCCCAATAAACCCCTTTTCTGTAGTACAAAGACGTAGTTGGTCTTCTCCATGGATCCGAGGCCTTGACGAAGAACAACTCTCAGCAAAGTGTCCTTTAAATAGTTTAAGGAAATTCCCTTAGCATCATGTCGTTCAGAGTTCCTCATTCGATCCCGCCTCTAGATCCTGCTGCATGAAGTTGAGAAAGTCGTAGAGCAGGACTACGTTGCAAACACCCTCTCAACTCGGTCTTCAATGAGTGAAAGATTTCTTCATAGATCCATTGATAAAATGTGCGATGACAAAGGAGAGCTGTTTTGCATCACACCGCATACGATAAGCACAGCTCCGTCTCAACTGAGCAGCTGCCTTATTTGATGAAGCTATTCAAGACATCTCTAAAATGCCATCTTCATAAATGATACTTGCTATTGTTGCCGCTCCTCATTCAAATGCATTAGGACATGCGGCTGGACTAACCGAGGACCAGTTTGATGCCGACGGCTAATTTCGCTGAGCCCCACACCCTTGGCAAATTTGCTAGTAGTTGCTGGGAAAAGGACCTATCCTCTTTTATTCTCAACATAAACTCTTTTGCATAGAACATGTTGCATGATTTTTGCTATTCTGCCAAACCCACTCTCTTGGCCGTTTTATCCTCTCCTCCAAATGCTAGGAAAGAAAAGGGGACTGTTTTCTCTTCCACTCCAACGGGACAATGGCTCCTGGTGAAGCTGCTATTGAGACCGAAGTGACGAAACAACGGGACACACCGTATGCTGCCCATCTCAGTAGACTGGTTCCTTCCAGAAGGCAGACGGTATCGGGTAAAGGCGACAAACTGCATTCCGATAGCAAAGAGATTCAAGAGCAAAAAAGTCGAAGGAAGCCGCCAAAAGTCGAGGAGGAGGCTGACGTGGGAGGAGGGCAGGATTCAGAAGCAGACGAGTTGGAAAGAGAATTAATGATGCAGCAAAGCCCACCCGTACACTATGTCATAATGAACTATCCACTTCGAATACGGCCGTACACACAAGAGATATCCACAAATCGGGAACGAGAGAAGGAACAAGAAAGCGGTGAAAAAGAAGGAAAAGCAGTATCAGGTGAGCTTAACTTTGCGACTATAAAGTCTTGTTTACTGTCCTATCGATGCACCTATTTTGAGAATTTGATTACTGATGGAAGAGCTGGCAGACCTACTTTCGTGCCCGTTCAGTTTACGCCATCTTATTGCATAAGTGACTTTCAATTAAAACGGTAGAATGGGATGAGGAGATCCTTAACTTGATCTCACATAAAAACGGTGACGGATATTCTTTGGTATTTTGATTATATTTGGGAGCTGTCGAAGCAATGTGCTTTGGTGTTTGACTAATATTTTGAGATTACTTGCAATTTTGAAGGAGAAGATGGTTAGAAGTAATTCGTGACATTGTCGCACCGGAAAGCGATGAAGGATTTGTGCGGTGTTCTGCGATCCCAATGAATATGTGCCAAGCTTACTGTGACAGATATAATCAGAGCAATAAGCCACACTACAAAATAGCGTAAACAATATACTAAAACTTTTGCATTGGCTTAGTATATTTTTTGTGCTATTTCGTAGAGTATGAATTCCTGCTCTGATGAGGTCTTTCACAGCTGTACAGTCAAAAGTTTAGCACAGCTTCATTGGGGTCGCATGACGGTGAGCCGAGCACCTATTTGCCCAAAACAAAAGTCTTCACTCTGAAGCAATCCTCCCTTGGTTTTCGATGAGACTATTTAGTGAACTCCTTCCAACTTTTCCTAAGAAATGGAAAGTCATGTCACAATATATCGCTAGGGAATTCTTCGAAAGACGGTTTTTCTGTATAGTTCGCTTAATAAGGTTTTAAAAATGATGTCCATCCTTGCCATTGTCTGTCATGTGCTAGACTTAACATCAGGACTACATCAGCACCAAAATACAGATGGAGTAGAGAATGGAGCCTGATTTTTCAATGCAACTCACTATTTCAGCAATCTCTGAAGGTAATTTTAATCTGGGCTGGAATGTAGTTTTGACCTCCCATATGCATCATCGTCATCCCAAACGGAATTCATACTTCGGGTTAGGCGGTTCAGAGAAATGTGATTCACTTTTCTTAGCCTTCTACTCAGTTCTTCTTTGAAAGAATAACTACCAGTCCATTGAAAACCATCTTGTCAATCAATCAGATTACTGATAGTTGCAGGTCACTCAGAACTTACTATTAATGGCTTCACTTTGTTTATTCGCGAGGTGTGAAAATCAAATTGTTTTTCATAACCTTCGCCGACATTATCATAAGCAAAATCAACCGGCACTGTAAAAAAAAATCACATTTTCGCAGTTGTGCGGATTAAAACAAACCAGAGAATTCGCATCCAAAGCTGTGAAAACTCAAGTGTGAGTACATTTGCATGCATAAAAAATAGCCGTAATTTGCGCAATTAGGCAATAAATTCAACGTTTTCATGAAAAAATACATTTATAGCAACAAATCAAGCATAGACCCACAAAGTAACGTTAACATTTTACAGGAGAAGAAGCAACGATGTACGAGTTGAGTGTGCATCGCTGCACAAGTAAGATGGGACGACTTGGTTGCATGTGATTTTTATATATTAAACTTTTATTAATGGAACTCTTAGTATCTCAAAAGGATAATACATGGGGAAATATTCCCCTTAAACTAATCATTACAATCTCATCTTTGCTGTCTTAACTATGAAGCAAACAAGTTAGCAAATTGAATTTATTAA